AGTACCTACTCCTTCCTGTCCCCTCTCTCTACTAATGGATTGATCACCTATTAGTAATGATTAGAGGTTAATAATGCTGAGCTAGAGTTCTTACTAAGCAGGACAACAAAGGTAGCCTAGTTGATCTGGCCAATCTTTAGACTTGTGACTAATAGGGTTTTGTATATAAACTACTCAGTCCCAAGTCTTGAGTTAAGCTTTTCCAAACTTAGTTACTGTATTTTACAATTCCTAACACTCTTGTCTTACTCTCTCTCTCTGTCTGTTCTACAAGTTCTAACTATGTTCTAGTACTTATATTCTATATTTCTGTTGTATAGGATAGTTGTAGCCTGGGTCCCCTCACTAAGCCTTCAGGTCCCCTCTATACTGTTACTAACATGTATTCTCTAATAGTATTATTTATGATTTTGTTAATGTAGAGTAGTAGGGTCTGGTTATGAATTGTGTTACTATTTAGTATCTAGTAGTTATATACTATACACAGGAGGTCCTCTAGATCTGCCTTCAGAATTAGAAATGTGAGTAATGTGTATAGGCTTTCTAATCTTTATAAACAACCAGCTTAGGTGTACTAATCTAAGAGTGTGTACTAAGCCTCCTAGTATTTCTGTAAGTATGTGTAAGACCTTACAGTTACTACCTTTAATAGGTCCTTAAACTGTATATTGTGTGTAATCCCTTCTAGAAGTTTTACAACTAATAGTATAGAGTCTAAGAAGTAATCTTAGTATTGTTACTTTAGCTCCCTATCTAAGGTCTTATGTCTTTCTGACTCAGCTAGTGTCTTAATATGCTCCTGAATAGTTACAGTTAGAGATAGTACTAGTTCTGAGAGGATGTGTGTAGGTTGTAGAACATAAACTAATTCTGTCTTTTCTACCTTTATTAGATTACATTTAGAATCCTTTAGGATAACTGTCTAACCTTCTATATTAATAACAATCCAGTTCTTTTAAAGGAAAGATATACTAAGAATCATCTTATTATACAAGTTATTAACTATATAAGCTTTTACAACCTTTGACATCCATTTCCAATCTGTCAACTATACTTACAACTTTACTCACTCTATAATCCATTTTCCTAACTCTTCTACTAATTTGATTACTAGTGTTATAATAATATATCTTTTGAGCAGGAAGTACTTAAGGTTTATTCAGAACACTAGTTTCTTATTAATCAGAACTGTAGAATAGTTAGAGTCAATCATGAGTTAGATTTAGATTAGAGTAGAACTATCTTTTATAAGAATGTAGTAGTTAGAGAATAGTAAGGAGTCAGAAATCAGAATGTACTCAAATTTGTCTCTACTTGTAAGTTCTAACACTACAGACTACTTAGTTTGTACAGGTATAGTAGACTTTTACTTCAGACATAGAGACTCTATATACACTTCTATAATAGAAACTGTGTCTTTAGGTTTTAGCAGACTTGTTAGACAATTGTCACTCTTATAGTTTATAAACAGTTTGTAGTACTAAAAGTATCCCTGGTTCTTTATCAGAAGTTAGTACTCTGTATAGAACAAAGTAATACACCTTATTATACTTTCTAAGGTAACCTTTAGACTAACTGTTACTAGAGTAAACTTCCTAGTATACAGCTTCTCCTAGTCCTTCTTCTAAGCCTGTTCTGTAGCTAAGATAGTCTCTACACTGTTACAGACCTTTACATAATCTACTTCTAACTGTTCTACCAGCTTATATACATACTCTAACTATCTATAGAGTCTTATACAGTCTGTTACTTCCCTTCCCAGAATCAGTTCTAGTGTTAGAAGATAGTTTACAGGATCAGGAATTTGACTATTTACTAGTACTATTATATGTACCCTTTCTGTATATATTATAATCTGTTTAACATATGTTAGAACTAGTTTTATAAGTGTAAAGTAAAGCTTAAACTAAAGATTAGAGTGTAAATTAGCCTCAAGAAGCTTACAAAGCCTGTCAGAATTAAGGTACTAATCTTCTAGGAGACTAAAATTTATTCTAGTAACCTGTAACTACTATTCTCAGAAGTTATAACTGTCTTACTGTGTTATAAGTAGCTTGTTCTGAGTTTACTCTACCTAGTCTATAGAGAGTATTTTACACTAAAGCTCCTGATAGAATGTGTCTAGTATAAGCTCCTTAAGTCTAGGTCAGTCATACTTACACTACTAGTACAACCTATGTTTCTATAAGTATTCTATTATAACTATAACTATATAGATTATAAGAACAGATTTAGTAAACACATAATTGTAGAATGTAGAGATCTATAACTAGAGAGTATACAGTGTTAGATTGTCTAGAGTTAATATTAGAGGCTTTGTAACATTCTCTCAGCTCAGCTAAGCTTTAGTAGACATAGTTTGGAACATTGTAACTTTCTAGTGTCTTAGAGTAGGCTTGCTTACATTACTATTTACTTCTAATAACTCTAAGCTACTCTCTAAATCTAAGCTTAGAGTAACTGTAAATAGTAATAGTGTTGAGAAAGTAAATACAGATTCTCTAGTCAATAAAGGAGCAACTGTAGCAGCTTTTAAGAATACCTAGTACTAAGGGAAACAAGACCTAGTTATATACACTTAGAAAGAGGGCTAAACTTACTTTAGAACTGTAGTAGTGTGTTTAGAAAGGCTAGAGAGTCTTACTAATAGTAGAGAGTGTTCAGGAAGGTTAGAGAACCTTACTAACAGTAAGAGATGTTTAGGAAGGCTAGAGGAACCTTACTAATATGTAGTACAATAAAGACTACTTTGTTAATGTTTAAAAAAAAGTAGAACAGTACTAGGGAAGTACTAAACACTATTACAAATAAGTTCCAAGTTTGTAGTAACACACAAAGGCTGACAGGACAAAGGTATCTTTGTTACAGTCAGGAATACAAACTAATACATGTACAGACAAAGAACTCACCTTTATTATAGTCAGGAATACAAACTGATACAATAAAGGTAAAGAATACTAACTATATATACTAAGGAAATAGTTCATACCTAAAGGGGAAAATAAAAGGGGGAACCAAAAGGGGGGACATGATGTATACTTAAAGGGGAAGACAAAAGGAGATAGTATGTGTCTAGGAATGTAGGGAAGGTAGTTATAACAAAAGGGGGACTTAATATAAGTACAAAGGAAAGATGTGTGACTCAGTAAGCTACTATAAGAATCTGTGTACAGAAAACACAGTTCTGTACCAGGACAGGTGCAGAACTGTGTAGAAACTGTTGTAAGCTGTCAGGCAGGCTTACAAAAGTATATTATAATTACTTGTATAACTTAATAATTTATACAATTATAATTGTAATTATTAAGTTTTACAAGTATCTTGTTTACTTAATTAGTATTTGTTCCTTACTTAACTCCTTAGGAAGATTATAAGTACTTAAACATATTTTATAAATTATATAAAATACATAGGATTACAAGCAAGTATAATAATTAAGACTTTTTCATAAGGCTAAACATATTAAGACTAAATAGTAAATAGTGTCTTTGTGTTGACTACAATATATTTGTGACCCACAACTTTGAATCAACACTGGCAGATGGTCTGAAGTTGTAACAGTCTGTAAAATTTAGAAAGGTTCACTGTAACTGGCTCAAAAGTGAGCATCCTACTTATTACATAATCTCTCCAAAATCCTGGCTGAGATGAATGATACAGTCAATAATGATCGTCTAATTTCATCGTTCTCAAAGGCAGGATTGACTTGAACAATCAGACTGCTTGTCGGTGTCGACATTGTTTCTTCACTAAACAGACTGTCAAGCGTCTTACAATTGTGGATTGCTTGATCCAGTTCTTGCTTGACCTCAGATTCTTCCTTTTTGAATAAGATTCGTGCCGACCCTCCATACATCCCATATGCTTCAACCAATTTTGCTGTAGAACGCCACTGTTTAGCCATATGGCTAGAAACATACTTCAGTGCTAAATTCTGAGAGCAATAGAGTGTACTTACCGAGACAAATAAATCTCGGGCCACGTCCACGTTCGCATAATAAACCTCGACGGGCTCAACTGCTTCTCAAATCCGGCATATCGTGACTGCTTAGGGTACGTTGTGATTAGCATTTGTACCCCTGGACGAGTCCGCTTTACTGTTGCCTGACTCTCGTTGCAGTCATATAGGAACAGTGTCTTGTCGGCTTGTTGTATGATCACGTGATTATCGGTACGTTCGTACAAATCAAGTGGAAGTTTGTAAACGCCTTCGTCCTGGAATAAATAACACCTATTCGGGTCGAACATCAAAACCGTCCGCTTTTTCTCGGTAAGTCGACACAAAAGACAGTAGGTCAGATATACAGTTTTGCCTGGTTGTGGTATAAGTTTCCTGTGTTCAATTGTCGTAGAAAGGATGTACGAACCTATGCCAGGCTGGCCAATAACCAGTATATGACTATCCTTATGTTCCGCAACAAATTCATCAAGCTTTTTGTACTCGTCCCGGATCATAAAGTGCGTCGCGAACTGTATGTTTTTACCGCTTGCCTGATATTCAGGCCGCCAAAACGGCAGGTGTCTCAGATCAAAAAAAGTAACCGGGACTGGTCCCTCATCCGAAACTGATCCCTCGTCCGAAACTGATCCCTCGTCCGAAACTGATCCCTCGTCCAACACTGATCCCTCCCACCACACTGATCCCTCATCCGGCACCTTTTCTTTCTTCTCTGTACGGATCGTCGACAATAGATCTTTTCGACCCCAGAGATAGTTATGTATATTGAATACCAGTCCAAACTCGACGTCCTCTTCCTTTTCCCCAAGCTTTTTAATGGACTCGTCTTCAAGTGTATGTAAGGACTGTGTGTTTGTCAACAGCGAATTTGTCCTAACGTACCGCCTGCCTCAGAGGATTCTTCTTCACTAGTACGCGAGCGTTTGGCAGGAACGACCGCTGTACATATAGATTAGTCAAACTTGCGAGGGACCAGCCGAGTTCATGGACGGGCAGAGAAAGGAGTACATACTTGATTTAGCCACAGCTACAATATCAATTTTTTTCTGCTCCCCAGGTGCAGGCCCGTGGGGAAAGTAGTCTGCAAGAGAATATACAGATTGCATTGCATTACGCGATGGATCTTTGCGAAGCCAATTCAAGGCACGTTCATGAAATTTCTCTAATGGCTCAATATCCAGATTGTCAAGCTGCACGTCAGCCTGCAAGTCGATTGACAATCAGTACAATGACAAAATAGGAGACGTCGAAGAAAAACCTTGTAAAGTAATACAGGTTTGCACCTCAAGTAGTCTTGGTAGTCTGGATCACGACGAGTAGCGAATTCCAGGTCTTGCACGGATGCATTCTCGGGAACAGAAATGAGACGGGGCCTGGATTTGCTGTCGTGTGCAAGATAGACCACATATTGATGTTCGCTTGGAGTTGCAGCAGACATGGTGGATGAGAGACACTGTGTGTTGTGTGACTTGTGAACTGTAACTGCCTTGTATGGGTGCAACCGTCACGCGAACGCAGCATTCATTGGGTCGCATCGTATGCTAGTCGCTTTCTATACATATTAATTAAATATAAAATAATATTGAGCCTGTCGGATAAGTGTTTCTTATATAGATCACTAAACAGAATACACACGTAGGGAACCACTCTCGAGTACAGTACGTCTTTCAGAAGGATATCTCTGGCCCACTTTGGTCAGCGTCGCTCATCGAGAAACCGAACTCAGCCAAGCACGGGCGGCTTGTCCGCCCGCAGAAGTGCACTTAGTGCTATTAGTATAGTTGCATATTTCGGGTCCGGGTCCGGTCCGGGGCATCTCGGTCGATTCAACCACACAAAACATTTTAAAAAAGTAACTTTATCATGTGATAGCCCTTGAAAAAGTAAGCACATGGGGCATTTCACAATTTCTTGCCTTAAGAAATAACTTACATAATGATAAACATTATTTGTAATTTAGTTTACCATTTTTGGTTGGCAGAAACTCTGAACAGAATTTAAAATTTTCATTATACAAAAACTAGAAATTAAATTTAACATTTCCCTATTTGTAAAATCTTTAAATAAATGGAGAAAATAATTTAAAACATAATTTAAAGTTTTTCCTATAGTAAAATTATAAATTTTCTTTCAGATTTAGTGACAAGAAAAATTTGAAATTTCTTTTATAAGGTAGGGAAAGTATAAACTCAACAAACCCAAGGTATTGCGTGCACAACCCTGAATACACAGCCACTTACTCCATTAGGAAGGACCCTAGCGGCAAAAATCGTGGTGAAGATATGATTTTTGTCTCAGTCTCAAGAAAATTGTAAAAGCTTTTAAATATGTCAAGTAGAAAGTACATTGTGTATTTACACTTATAACTCAGC